TACGTCTGGTCATTGTCCTCACTGGGACAGAAAGCCTTTGGCAGCAACCAATACCTTAGTCTCATTAATATTTCCACCTATTGCCCTGAGGATATTTGTACCCTTTCCATGGAATAATAGTCTTGAGAAGAGATAGAATCCTTGGGAGAAAGAAAGACAGGGGAAAGGATTTGCAATGGGAGAATGGTTTCCACATTCAACAGACTAAGGCAGCTATAAAACTCATTTTGTTTGCTCCTGCACAGAGACTTCTTGCCCTGTTGCTCAGTATCAACTGTAATCCCAAACAAAATAAATCTTGGAGTAATAATGAAATAGAGATAACTCTTAGATTTTTTTTCCTCCTGCTTTACTCTGTAAATCTGTTTTCTATCCTGGTTTTTCTCCAGTCTACTCTGAAGCTCCCTGTCTAAATTCTCTTTGTCCCTGAAAAAAACAGGTCATTCTTCCAATCTCCTGACTACTTCAAACATTATGACCCTCTAACCCAAATTCTTGGAGACCTAGGATTCTTCTGTGCCCCACTCTGACAGAAACCCTCTTTGTCATTTCTAGGCTTCAGCTGTACAAGTCTTCTTAACTCATTTTTTTCTCTATTCTCTTCAGAACAAATAACTTTGGGGAGGAAAGAAAGGGAGGCCAAACCTGTAATTTCATCAGTATGTGGAACTCCTTGTATAAAACCTCCCTCCACCAATGTAGCTCAGAAAATATTCTGCAACTGATAATCTTGGAAAGATACTTGGGGCACCGGGAGTTTGTGACAACTAAGTCAGAGGTAAACCAAGTGTTCCTTACCCAGTCTAGTTCTCTAACTGCCACATTGGGGTACCTCTCTTATTAATTTAATTGAGGAAATATCTAAATGCCTGGGATATGCAAAGCATGGTTTTAAACCCCGGACTTCTTGAATTGGATGTTCTATAGACATCCTAAATTCAGCATGTCCAAAACTGAATTTGTTATGCCCCCCCCCAAAAAAACCCTTTCCCTTTTTCCAAACTTCCATATTGCTGTTGGGGGTGCCTCTATCCTCCCAGTTATCTAGGATTTCAACTTAGGTATCATCCTTGACTTTTCATTCTCTCGTACCCTGCTCCCAAAATTCTATTTCTTCCCAAGGCCTGTTGATTTTATCTTTTTATATATCTTACTTATACTCCTTTTTCATCTCTAACACTGCCAACCATGGAACAAGCCATCATCACCTCATGTCTGAACTATGCAATAGCCTGCTTGTTGGTCTCCATGTCACAAGTTTCCCATACCCCTCCCCACATTCCAGTGTGTCCTTTAGTAAACTCTAAAAGTGATCTTCCTAAAGCCCAAGTCTAAACATGACACCCCCCTCCACTCAATAAACTCCAATGACTCCCTATCTTCTCTAGGATCAAATATAAAATACTCTGGCATTCAAAGCCCTTCATAACCTGCTCCCCCTCCCCTTTCCAGTGTTCTTACACCTTATCCTACCCTTACTCCCACAAACTCTGTGATCCAGTGACTTGTCTCCTGAAAAATAAACTCCATCTCCTGACTCTGCATATTTTCACTGGCTGTTCCCCATGTCTAGAATTCTCACCCTCCTCATCTCTGCCTCTTGGCTTCACCGGCTTCCTCAGCTAAAATCCTACCATCTGCAAGAAGCCTTTCCCAGTCCTACTTAATGCTAGCACCTTGCTTTGAGATTATCTCCAATTAACCCTGTATATATCTTATTTGTACATACAGTTGTTTACATGTAGTATTCCCTCCCCCCTCCCCATTAGATTGCCTTTGAGGTCAGGAACTGTTTTTACCTTTCTTTGAATCCTCAATATAATAGGTGCTTAATTGTTGGGTCTTAAATTGTTGACTAATCAATATAAATGAATCCACACATTTATCATGTCCAAAAATGGCCATTTGTTTCATTGAGTCCATTACTACGATGTTTAAAGATGGGCAGCATGCTTCATCAGTCCTCTGGAGTCATTGTTGGACATTGATCAGAGATCTTAAATTTTTCAGTTTTTTTTTCTTTACAGTATTGTTACTGTATAAACTGTTCTCCTGCTTCTCACTACTCCATGTATCAGCTTGTAAAAGTCTTCCCAGAATTCTCTGAAGCTTCCCTTTCGTTATTTCTTATGGAGCAATTTCATTACCTTTATATACTAAAATTTGTCAGCTAATCAATAAGCATTTTTAAGAGCTTACTATAAAAATTTTCTGCAAAGATCCCCCCCCAATTAACAGTTTCCCATTTAATTTTATTGGCAATAATCTGTGTGTGTGAAAAAAAAAAACTTTTCACATTTTACATGTGCATTTTATCTTATAGGATCCTCTCTGTTCTTTGTCTGATCATGAATTCTTCCCCTATCTATAGCTGTAAAAGCTATTTTTCCCTGGCTCCTGTAGTTTGTTTATAATATGAACTTTACTATCTAGGTCATTTACCCATTTAGAGCTTATTTGGTATATGATGTGAGGTATTGGTCTAAATCTACTATCTCCCTGACTGCTTTCCAATTTTCTCAGAAATTTTCATCTAAATAGTGAGTCCTTACCAAAGTTGATGTTTTGGGGTCTATCAAAAATTATGTTATTTTGCTTCTGAGTGTTGTGTATCTAGCCTGTTCTACTGATTGGCTTCCCTGTTTTTAGACTGTACCAAATAATATTGATAATTATTTCATTACAGAATAGGTTGAAATATGGCACTGTGAGGTCCCCTTCCTTTTCATTTTTTAAAAATTATTTCCCTTTAGAATTTTGACTTTGTGTTCTTCCAGCTAAATTTTATTTTTTTCTAGCTCTTTCATAGTTTGGTATGGCACTAAATAAGTAAATTAATTTAGGTAATAATGCCATTTTTATTATATGGCACATGCAAATCATGATCAATTAATAGTTATCAATTTATTAAATTTTTAAGAACATTGTGTAGTTGTATTCATACAGCTCCTATTTTTCTTGGTAGGTAGACTCAAATATTTTATACACTACACAGTTACTTTGTATTGAGTTTTTAAAGCATAACACATAAGTGTAGGTAGCATGGGAGGAACAGATAGAGATTGAAAATTAGAGTTATTCAGAAGCAGTGAACAAACATCAAATAAAAATATATCCCTCTCCAGTGATGGAATTTCTTTGTCTTCTTATTTCTGTTATTTCCATAGCTTCACTGTTCCTGAGAGCTTAATTCTACAAAAAAAAAAATGTAACTAGAATAAGAACCTGAGCTCACTAAGGTCCTATGCTGGGCCTGCACATTCTCTAAAGTGACTACCCCAACTCTCACTCCTAGAGTGTGATCACTACATCCTTTCAGACGTTTTTTTTTGTTTTTGTGTTTGTTTGGTTTTTTTTTGTTTGTTTTGTTTTGTTTTGTTTTTTGACTAGGCAATGGGGTTAAGTGACTTGCCCAGGGTCACACAGCTAGTTAAGTGTTATGTGTCTCAGGCCGGATTTGAACTCAGGTCCTCCGGAATCCAGGGCCGGTGCTCTATCCACTGCGCCACCCAGCTGCCCTCCTTTCAGACTTTTAAGGTTATTGGGGGGGAGGGAAAAAGGTATAGTTCTAATGCTATAGTTCACAAGTTCCCACCAAGCTTTCCACCCTGATTACTAATTACGATCACTAATTACTAGTAGGTCAGTCAGACCTAATTAACTTTTGGAAAGGAGTAGTTACTAAGGTAGTTTAGTTGGCACAGTTGTTATAAACATTCCCCCTACAAGTCCATGACACTCTCCCACCAGTACATAGAAGTACAGGTCAATGCGGGCTTAAGCTTAGACAACATATGTGGCAAAAGATCAACTCCTGGATTCTAGAAATCCCTTTGCTGTAGTCCTCAAAAGGTTTACTTTGTTGTGATGTAGCTTTTCTTCTAGGTTCTTAGAAAAGCTTTGAGCCTGCTTTCCTTATTCATTCTACTCTGTCCTTCGGTTTTAAAGCAAAGACTTTTATCAGCCATTCTGGGGACCCTTCCAGGATTCTGGAGAAAATTAAAAAAAAAAGTCTTAATCCTCCAGACCCTTCAAAGTTTACAAGGCTCTTGCCAACATGGGGGAGGGAGGGAGGTGGAGACTGAAACTGAAGCTGAGGTCCATGGCTCTATACTTCCCTGTCAGGGCCTTAGTTGGAACTCCTCTCTATTGACAGGCACTTGACTTCTCTAACTAGCTCACGTTTTCACATAGGCCTCAGAGGATACGAGCCAATCTGAACAGATTTCTTGTCTCACCTAGGCAGGTGTCCAGGCCTCATTCACACCGAGTGAACAGTCAAGATATGTTCTCACCTGATAGCTAGCTCAGGGTTAGCAACTTGACACTTTAAATAAGGTAGAGGTGATAGTTTTGATTTAACCGATTGACCTCCACTCTTACACTGTGATGCAGCCAACAAACAAAAGCTCAACTGCCAGATTTATCTTCATTTATGGAACTCTTTGTCACTGCCACCCAGGGGATCAGGAGTTTGTCCTCCAGCCACAGACTTTTTCTGCAAATGTCCCTCCCACTGGCTCTTCTTTAATCTTGTTCCCTAAGACAAGCATGTACTATTTTACTTCAGTTGAAAGCTAGCTATGTGCAAGTTATCTGTAAGTTAGATGAACTCTGTAGTTGCTGTTAAGTCATTTCAGTCTTGCCTGACTCTTCATCACCCCATTTGGTGTTTTCTTGGCAAAGATACTGGAGTGGTTTACTATTTCCTTCTTTAGCTCATTTTACAGATGAGGAACTAAGGTAAATACGGTAAAGTGACTTGTCCAAGGTCATACAGCTATTAAGTGTCTGAGGTGAGGTCTGAACTCAGGAAGGCTCATCTTCCAGACTCCAGGGCCAGCACTCTATCTACTGCACCACCTATTGTCTCTTCTCAATTTAGTTGGACACAAGTTCACATAGTATACAGACTTTAACCATACTTTTTACTGCATTTTTTTCTCATCTCAGCCTAAAGCTAGAGTGATTTCTTTTAGCCCTCTTGTGCAATCAGGAAGCAATATTCTTTCTGTTCCCTCCCCATGGTCATACCTGAAACCCTGATTAAAATTGGCTTTCTTCACAGCCACTAGAACATAACATAGTCTTCTATGGGGGTCAGTTCACAGAATGTTACTAAATTAAACTTCCCCACTTTATTAGTCCACAATCTCTGTTGAAGTTCTCCCAAGCTGGTCCTGCTTTACAGTTCGTTCTTTCCTTTATGAATCCACATTTATTTCAAAGCCCCTTCATTTATTTCGTCACATCTTTGGTTTCCAAGGTCCAAGGTATGGCATAATGTGAAGCATTCTGAATTTGGAATCAGAATATCTGGATGGAAATACTGATCTTGCTAGTTATTTACTACTTGTGTGATTTTGGATAAACCAGTTAACATTTCTATGCCTAAATGTCATTTGTTGAATGACAAGGGCTGGGAATGAATGTACTAAGATAAGTTCCTAATGAATACATGACTTAGATATAAAGCATGATATCAAAACAAATTAAAGGAACAAGAAACACATTATCTTTCAAATGTAGAAAGGAACATTTCAGAACCATACAAGGGATAGACTTGATTACATAAATCAAATAAATTTAATCATATTAATAAGGAAGGTTTTGAATAAACAAAACCAATGGCACCTTAGATAGATGTTGTGGAAGCAGAATTAATAAAAACTGGTGACTGATTGGGTATGATGAATGAGGGAAAGGGAAAAGTCAAAGGTGATTCCAAGGTGATGAAACTATTTAATTAGGAACGTGGTGCTGCTCTTCACAGACATAAGGAATTTGGGTGGGTGTGAAATAATAAAGAAGTTGTGTTTGGAGCATGTTGAATTTAAGATGTCTATAGGACATCCAAATAGAAATATCTAGCAGGCAGTTGATAATTTATGACTGGTATTTAAGAGAAAAAAAATAGAACTGGATATGTAAATTTGGGAATCAACTATGTGCTTTTGAACTCATGTAAATTAATGAGTCTTCCAAGAGAACATTTATTGATAGAAAAGGCCCCAGGACAGAGCCCTGAGGAAAATCCAACGTATGCTGGCAAAAGATGAGTGATGATCCAGGAAAGAACACTTAGAAGAAGTAAGAGTATTGTGAAGATATGCAAGGGGTTCAAGGAGAATAAAGATTGATTTAGAAAAGATCAGATGATTTACAAGGTTAGAGAGTATTAGTAATACATTGGAGAGACAAGTTTCATTTGAGTGGTGGGACTGGAAGCCAGATTGCAAGGAGGATAGAAGTAAGTGAACTCACACGCCCTAAACAAAACTTCTTTGTGATCTCACACCCATCCAACTTCCATATTTTTATTGAGGGCAGATGAAATGAATGATCTATGTGCAAGCTTCTAGAATTGATGGGAGGACATGGGATCGAGGATACATATAGAAGGACTTGCCTTAGCAAACAAAATGTCCACCTCCTCCTGAGAGGCAAGAGGAAGGAAGGAAAGAGTCTGTGAAGATGTAGAGCAATTTTGAAGTATGAAGTGGTGGAAAAGAGAGTGCTCATAACAGATGGCCTCTGTTTTGTCAGTAAAGCAAGGATATTTTCAAGGGAGTTGAAGGAGATATTGAGACAGTTTGGAACATTAGCTGAGGGGAGTAAGATAGTTAATCAAGGAAGAAAAAACATTTTCTAGTATAGCAGTGAGGACTCATATTAAACAGCATGAATTAGTAGTTGAATGAGTCAGTATGATTATAAAAGTTGCTCTCATGGCATTCACCAGCTCAAGAGTCTAGGCTAAAAAGAGACAGTAATTTTGAGCTGAGGACCAGTGAGATGGGGGAGATGGTCAGACAAGGATGTGTGAGGACACAGGAGAGTACATAGTAGAACAAGTAAACTATTGGGTCAGAGTGATAGGATGAGAGAACAGAGAGGTATGAAAGGACCAGTGAGATTGAGATGTTGCCTTTTTAAGGGCAAGAACTATTTTCCCCATTAGGAATATAAATTCTCCTGTTTGTCATTTAATGTCTACAGTCTATCTCCAGACTATCTTTCTAGACTAATTTTCCATTACTTCCTCTTACTCGCTCTGTATTCTAGTCAAACCAAGCTATTTTATATTCTTCATACACGACATTTCAGCCTTGGAGATGCCATTGCACAGTATGTGTGCCACGTCTGGAATTCTGCATTTTCCCATATCTGCCTCCTGAAATCCTAAGTTCCCTTTGAGGCTTAGTTCAAGTATTATCTCTTACAAGAGGCCTTTCCTATGATCCTATAATCCTCTCAATTGTTAGTGTTCTCATATATGAAAATACCTTGTAACTTATTTTGCATATTTTTGTAATTACTTCTCTGTGTATATACTGCCCCCTTCCCCAGTAGAATGTAAACTTATATGAATAGGGTCTGTTTCATTTTTGTCTTTGTATTGCCAATGCCGAGCACAATGACTCACATAAAGTTGGTGCTAATAAATTTTTATTGGACTGAATGGCTAAAAGAGAAGAGGCTATAAAACACTTGGAAAAATGACTACATTATTACTGAAAAAAAGAATTGAGAAAATGTCTTAAAACTACCCAACCTATATGCCTATTTTCTCATTTCTACAAAATCTTTATGAGAATACTGTCCACACATATCAAGGGCACCCATGATCAAGGTAAAATTTCACAAACACATCATGTCCTCTAGTTGACCAGGTATGTAAAGTCACACAATTAACTAAAGATACAAAGAATACAAGGTGACTTTGTACTTATTCAGAACAAAATGCTGCTTTAAAGGTTCTTCAACAAGGCAGCATCAATTCATTTGTTAAAATCATACAAGATTCTTTGAAGAATGCACCAACAGAGAAAAATTTTGATACCCCTCTGTTCAATCAGTCAATCAATAAGTATTTATTAATTGCCTACTATATACTAAGCATTGTGCTAGGTCCTGGCAATACAAATATAATGGAACAATTCCTACTTTCAGGGAGCTTACAGTCTAATGTAACAAATAAATATATAAATATGAACAGCACAAATATGAAGAATATAAATATGAATATATACAAAGTAGTTAAATCCAGGGTTGTTTGGGAAGGAGGACACTAGCACTAGGTTTCATGCAGAATATGAGGTTTGAGCTGCATCCCGAAGAAAGAAAAGGACTGTGTGATACAGAGCTAAGAAGGGACTACATTCCATATATTTAGAATGGCCAGTGCAACAGTATAAAGATGGGAAATGAAGTGCCATATGTGAGGGATAAGGAGAAGACTAGTTTAGCTAGATCAAGAGTATGGAGAGAGGAATAATACCATCAAGGCTGGAAAGATAGGTTGGCGCTAGATTATAAAAGGTATTAAAAGATAAACAGAAGAGCTTCTATTTTATTTTAGAGTTAATAGGAAGCCATTGGTGTTGACTGAGTGGGGAAGTCATGAGGTCGTATCTGCTTTTAAGGAAAATTACTTAGGCAATAGTATAGTAGAATAGTAGTAGGATAGCCTGAAGTGCAGAGAAACTTGAGACATGGATATCAATTAGGAGACTATTGCAATAATCTAGCTGAGGGGTTACTGGGAGCCTTTCTGGTCTTTATCATCTCCTGTCCCTCCCACTTCATGTGCTTCTCTGGGATCCAACTGCCTAGAGGAGAGATTATCCAAACATCTCATGAGTCTCATAAAAGGCCATTCCCTTCTAAAAGTGAAATGCTGCTGGGGCTTCCAGTGCACATTTATAGAAATGAAAAACCTCCTATGGGGTAGAGAGGAGGAGGGGAAAAGAGAAAGGAATAGGCTTCCATTTATTTGTTTCTTACAGTATTTTTGTTTATCTCATTATCTGCCAACCTGAACAATAAACAGGACCAGATGGCACGTAGGCATGTTGACAAGCTCAAATATGAGGATGAAAAATAAAAACAGATTTTGGTAAACATAAGACAGAAATAAGGTACCAAATTGTAGTTTACTTCTGTAACAGGGGTTTGGGGCATGGCCAAATCATCTAAGGTGGAGACACCCATGTGGAAGACCCCAGGGACCTGCTTTTGGGAGGAATGGAACAATTGTGGACATTCTATGTTGGTTTATCGCATTGTTGGGGACAGTTTCTTTCCATTGGCCATATAGCTGGAACTGCTGACCACCTAACTGGGACAGTCTCTTTTTTTTTTCTTTTTTTTTTTTGGTTACTGAGGCAATCAGGGTTAAGTGACTTGCCCAAGGTCACACAGTTAGTACGTGTCAAGCGCTTGGTCTGAGGCCGGATTTAAACTCAGGTCCTCCTGACTTCAGGGCCAGTGCTCTATCTACTGCGCCACCTAGCTGCCCCTGGGACAGTCTCTTATCTATGCAGTTGGATCCCAGAGGCGGCACAGGACAAGGTAAAGACCCAAAAAAGGCCCCCACCAACTATGACCACACCAAAAAATATAGAGAAAGTGATATTTGTAAACTGCCAGAAACAAAAGAAATTTAGACATTATCTAGTACAAGCTCCTCATTTTATAGCTAAAGAATTTAAGGTAGAGATAGGGGAAGTTAGTTGTCTAAGGTAACAGACAGCAACAGGACTAAACCTCTTTTCTGGACTCCTAGGTCAGTAATTGATGCTAGGAGACAAAGAAACAGAAGGGTAGGTAGGAGTCACCCAAAGAATGCTTAGTCATTCCTTCCTCTTCCCCTCCCCCTCCAATCAGTACTACTTCAAAGACCACACCTTGTGCAGGATTCTGTTACCCTTTAAGGATCTACAGATACTACCAAAGATAACAGACTGCAAAGAGTTGTTTTGCTGTTGTTGTTTTTTTTTCTTAGGCAATGGAGGTTAAGTAACTTGCCCAGGTCACACAGCTAGTAAGTAGCTGAGGTTAAATTTGAATTCAGGTCCTCCTGTCTCCAGGGCTGGTACTCTATCCACTGTGCTGCCTAACTGCCCTTATTTTATTAATTTTTAAGAGTACTTTAAAGTTTATTTTGGGAGGGGTGCATTTTAGGTCTTAACTTTTTTAAAGTTTTATTGACATGTTTTGTTTTAACTTTTAACTATTTTAACAT